AACTTGTTATTAGGTAACAGTTTGTTAATTACACAATAAAGTTGTTAGTTATCATTGTAATCAATAATTTTTATTTTTATAACAGTATAAACATTATCATACATTTAGGGGTCTTTCGTGGGGCACCCTGTAGATGACTGCTTAGGGAATCCTGCTTGGGCAGTCAGCTCACTGTATCCGCATTGGTGGATTCCGTATGTGCAGTAGGCTGGGTGGGTAAATTAACCCAAGTATGATTAAGCTCACAGCTCTCGGCGTGCCTTTGTAGCTCAATTTTTAGAGCGTTGGCTTTACTAAAGCCATCCGCACTGATGTAGGTTCGAATCCCACCGAGGCCAAGAATTTTCCCAAGTTCTTCAATTAAATTATTCAAATCTGCCAAAGCCCTCTTATTTATTATTTATCACCGACCGGAAGACAAAGTATGTCAAAACAGACCAGACCCAAGAGCTGTCGTTACTTGTCAGGTTTTATCTTTTTTCCACTCTAGTTGATGCCCTTTACTCTGGCGAAACTATCCACCAATTGAATTTCAAGGAACGTCTAGCCAGCGAAGTGGCCCATTTTCAGCTTTGTGAGCACCTTATTGGTGAACTGGAGGCTGTACACTTCTCAGGCCTTCTTCCCGAATCTTGGCGTCGGATCGAAAAGACCTTGGTGGACGCCGAGAACTTCCAACCCTTCGAATCCCCTCCTGTCCACCGTAAAGCCCGACGAACTCGACGCCGATTAAATAGTTACCGGCAGCGGTCACTATCTGTTGAATTTGATGTATCGACTCACGAAAATGGAGCCTCTCCACATCCGACGCACCAGGTATATTGGAAAATTTGTAAATCTCTATTTTTAAGACTTTCCAGTTGGAGTACTCGCCTTGATGGCCCTCTGATCGCTTAGAGTGTCCCTCATTACACGATAGACCACTCCACTCTAACTCAGTCTGAAACCCATTTGAACTCTGCGAATTTCCTATGCTAGGCCGAACATTATCGCCGCATTTCTATGACCGTTTCGACGAAACAAAATGAGACTTGTAGCGTTGCGGCACACTTAGATGGACATTTTACAGTGTGCATAAAAATTTTCGGTCCAGATATCTTATCGTTTTCATCAACCCTCAAAGAAGGCAAAGAAGAAGGCACGAGTACATGAACCGAATTATATTGAGACTGACGTTTTGGACACTCACATGGTTCCATCGTCAGAGTAACTTGGTGATTGTTCCTGTTTGCCGGGACTGTTTTAGCCTTGCCGCACGCTTGATATTATATCCTTGCTCGACGCACTAACTTTGACCTGTCTGTTCGCTGCTAATTGACCGTGAGATTGACCGCTGGTGGGTTTGTGTGACCTTTGCTCCCCTTTGTGCTTACTGGCCTGCTCCTTGTCCACCGACGGAATAATCACTTGTTGCTGCCCGTGTGAGTTGGTGTCAGTCCCGTGGGCGCGGCGGTGAGGTAGTGTTCCACGCTGGTCACGTTGTTCCTAGCCGGCTTTGACAAAGCAAGGGTAATAGACCGAGCCAATGCCAAGATGGTTATATTTCTGCTGGAAAGTTGATCTTCGGTTGGCACACTTAACAGAGCTGTTTATCTTCACCCCGCCGACCAGGCGCTACACACACGGCTCGAGTCAGTTAGAAGAAGGCCAACAGGACGGCAAAGCAAACTCAAGCGTGGACTATAACTCAGGGCAGAGGAAAATAGCAGAGGAGCCGGCCAGGAACCCCGTGACCAGCGTGGAACACTACCTCACCGCCATGCCCACGTGATTGAAATCAACTCACGCCGGCAGCGACAAGTGATTAGTCTGTCGGTGGACGAGAGGCAGGCCAGTAAGCACGCTGACTTGCCAACATAACCAACTTATTAAGGAAAGTGACAAATTTGGAGAACGGAAAAGATCGTTCTAACTTCTAATAGATGTAAATAGAATTGTCGGGTGAAATCGTTAACATAACAAAAGGTCGCGGGTTCGAATCTCGGGTGATCCATACCTTGAAGGCACAAAGCGACCTACATGTTCCGTAACCAAATCGGTAAACATCACACTTTCATTTTGTATACAGTATTGACCTTTCTATTATTGAATGACAACGAGTTTCAGAACATCCTTGAAATGCCGGTAAATCCTTCACGATTTTCACTGTTTTCATCCGATGGGCCATCAATTTAGATTCTCTTTTGTGTTTTTCACAAAGTTCAAAATAAGACATTCTTTTAAAATGTTAACCGAAGAATTGCGTTTTTGAACATTATTCATAATGCAGATGATCGTTTGGATTATATTTGTAGTCTCACTCAAACATAAGGACGTATTGCCGATACGAATGAACTTTTACAGCAGAGGTCAGCAATTGATAGACCTAAATTGAACTTTAAAACTTTCTCAAATAAGTTACCCCTTTAAAAAAGATTTAAGTCGGTATTTGGCTAACGAATCTCCGTGTACTTTGCGAATTTCCATGGTTAAATAATGATAAAATGGCAGTTTTTAATCGTTTTTTGGCTTTCCGAAAAAATTGTGAAGAAAATAAATCAGCTGAAAATGAAAGATCTTACTTTTCTCTTTTTATGAGAGCTTTTTCCGCTATATTTTTTTACCTTAGACCCAGTTCTAAGATTCCAAATGCCTAACAGGGTGGTCGAATATATACTAAGATTTGGCGAAAATTGACCGTTCCCTTTCGAAGTTACGCATTAGCGAAAACTATATTATACAAAGAATATCTTGCCAATGCTTCAAGGTTAACATCATTTTTGTCGACCTTCGCTGTGGGGAAACAGAATACTTTCAAGCAAGTTAACTACTGTGTGTTGTCGCAAAAAGTCAAACTTTTACAAAAAAGTAATTTTTGAAGCCGAATTCCTTTCTTGTGTCCGAAAAACAAAGTGATGTACACCTAACACTCTAACCGTTTGAGCTACGAGGAACTCTGGACGGGTAACTTCATCCAAATGTGGTTAAACCCACGGCTCCCAAGCAGGATGTCTTTGTCCAAGATGGAATGCGGACGTTCCGTTCGCCTTGGAGCTCCAGGCCTAGGTGGCCGTAGCATTGCTGTTGATAATAGCACTTTATTGCTTTTCTAACCAAAGACGCTTCAGTTGTTCCTATAACTCAGTTGCTGTCTGCTCGATACGTTCTAGGTCTATATGTAAGTAAAGAAGAAGACGCCAGATCGGTAAATCGATTGACTGAGTTCTCATTGGGGACCCAGGCGTCAATCAATTCGCGGCCTTTCTTCTAGCATGGGCGATTACTCGCGTGACTGCAAAGGCGAACTCGTGTGAAGGTTGTCCCTGATCAAAAACAACACAAATATCGCACTTACCAAATACTGATCATTCGTCGTTATTTCATTGCGTGCGTACAAGCTCCAGGCCCGTTAATGAATCCAACTACTGTTTTCACGGGTGCACCCGGCAGCTGAGCCAATACTTGATGCTCCCCCACATTTAGGCTCATTTTCCGGCTGTGTATGAAGAAGAAGAAGACTCGGTTTCGAATATAGTGGCCGAATTACCCAGGATTCAGACCACGACTACTCCGTGATATGTAATTCACGGCCAGTGTCGGCACCATTAATTACTACCTGGGAATCCTACTTTGAACCGATAAACGTTGCTCACCGGTTCCTCAAAAACAAATAAATCTTTGTGAGGGTTACGTTTGCCATGCCGAAGCTTTTACGAATGTTATATGTTGGTATCCTTACCGTGACCTTGTGTTTTGTTGTCCCAAAAGGATAAGCAATTACGTTTAATCCATTATGCATATTTAGACACTGCAAATAGAAATGAAAAGCCTGATTTACGGCTTCCGAAACGTAGCCAACCCAGAATTATGGTTTTATGTCGTCTGAGCTTTCGAACTCTTACTGGGGTCCGATGTCAGAGATAGAAGCGGAAACAAAACATAAGCAAGAGTTATAGGGGACATGGGTCAATCAAACACCAGTCTGGGTGGGACTGTGCAGGCCTCTGTACGCCGACGCCAAATCTATAAACCGATTGACTGAATTCTCCTCGGAGGCCCAAGCTTCAACCAATTTCCAGTTTTTCTTGCTCCTAGTGTGAACGATTATCTAATTGGCTGCGAAGTTTAACTCGTGACCCATTTCGTAGGTGTGGGCAGCCACTTGTTGTAATCCGTCACCCCGTCTCACAGCCAGCTCATGTTCGTGTATGCGTAATCCAAGCATGCGTCGAGTCTGTCCTGTTCACTGGGGTTTAATCAGCCTTTGATCGTCATGACTCTGCTGCGTATCGTAGCTTAGGACTGGCATGCAGTCCCGACGCTTGGTCCCGCAGTAATGCGCCCGGTCGCCTCTGACACCTTGGTGTATGGCAACGTATGCCATACGACCTTTCCTCGGCACAATGTAATTAACGCAAAAAATTTCACTATATCCCTCTATCCTTGTCGACGACAAACTCTTAGTAGGAAATTTGTTATAAAAAATTTATTCCGTTCGAAATATCGTCTCTTTGGGTTTTTTGTCTTATCTGTCAGTTATGTTGTCTTTGCTGCTTTTAGAAGTCACGTCGTCTTTCCCTGCACACTCCTGTCACCATGGATGATCTGTCTTCGTCGTCTTCCTCGGCGAGAACTCTTCTCCCAAACAATCCCATCGACCCTAATCTTGTGCCGAGCCAGGCTGCTCAAGCCGCCACGGGCCTCCTTTGCTGCTGTGTTGATCGTCAGCAACGACAACAACAACAACCAACATCTTCACGGTCCGGTCTAGCTGGCACTCTGCGCTTTCGACGTCTGCAGGAGATCTGCGCCAGCCTCTCTGACCTCGACTGGGTGGACGCGCAGGCTGCAGCCACCTTGCGTCTACTCGGGATCTCCTTCTTCTCCGATTCCGGGGAGGAGGGTGCTGGGGGCGAT